ACGGCCCCATCGGCACCCACCTCAGCTGGCTCTACCGCCGCCAGGAATTCAAGTTCTACTGGGACCCCTACCACGCGCCCTACATGCCGCACCTCGACCCGGGCTGGTACGCCACCACGCGCCTGTGCCTCGACCCGCTCTCTGACGAGTACGCAAAGTTCACCAAGCACGTCCCCGAGTTCCAGGAAGTGGTCCCCTACTCAAAGGTCATCGCCTACGACGGCTGCGCCGCCATGGGCGCCGTCGGCGACGACGTCATGCTCGCCCTGGGCGTCCTGCGTCCCGCCGACGAGGTGCCCGCGTACAATAAGGCCCCGCACCGCCACCGCATCTTCGGCCGTGGGCTCAACGACCAGGGGAAGCCGGACTCTAGGGACCTCGGCGGCATCGACGGCCCGCGGCTCGCCGACGTGTTCCAAGTCTTCTTTTACGGCGCGCTGCGCGCTACAAAGGACTATGCCGGGAAGCTGATCGATCCCAAGGCGGTGCGGCACAGGCCGGTGGATCGCGAGACGCTGACGCCGCTCCACGTATTTGACAGGCAGACGATATACATTAGGGATGTCAAGGCGATGAAGGCGGACCTGAAGAAGAAGGCGGCCGAGGTCAAGGTGGCTGGGGAGGGGCCGGAGAAGAAGCGGCTGGAGGAGGAGGTGCAGGCGCTAGAGGCGGGGATCAAAGAGTGTGAGAGTGCCGAGCTCAAGGCGGTGGTGAACGGGGTGGAGAAGACGTTTCCCCGGGTTCCGGACCCGAAGCAGTATCCGTACCCGTTGCTGTATGAGAGGGCGGTTAGGCATCATGAGCCGCCTGCGTGGAGTGCAGGGGAATGATAGAGGGAGGAAGGAGGCTGAGGATTTACAAGATAGTGATCGGAAGGAATGCCTCCTTTTCAAGAACGGTAGTGTTGGGAGGAGCTTGATGAGGAAGGCCGGTTATGAGTTTAGACTTGGCGTATGGTTTCGTATTCCGATTATGGTTTCTTGGACAGGTGATAAAGTGCTCTTGGTGGAAAGGGGAACGAGAACTTTAATTCTTTCGACTCGTGGGATTCAGTGATGTGGCACCGAGCTTCCGATGGGAATTGAATGGGGTGGATACATGGAAACGCATTCCGTATTTCAAATCCAACCACAGGTCGTCATATTTCAAGTTTAACCCAGAATCAGTACTGCTAACTAGTACCCCAACTATGCCATCAACTACGCCCCATTCGCGCGGTACGCATCGTCCCCCTTTTTCCTCTCGTCCTCGATAATCTCCTGCACCGACTTGGACCCCCCACCATCCCCATGATACTTTTCGGCCAGCTCGATGCACCGCAGGTTCGCCGCCAGCTTGTTCATCGTCTCCATCCACTCCTCCGTCTTCTCGCTGTCGTACACGATGCCCCCGCCCGCCTGCAGGTACGCTACCTCGTCCTTGACTAGCATGGTGCGGATGGCGATGCACGTGTCCATCTGGCCCTCGTCAAACAGGAACGGCTCCTCGTTTTTGGTAGGATCGCCCGCCCGCACCACGTCGTACGCGAACCACCCCGCCGCGCCGGCGTAGACGCCGCGCTTCTCGCCCTCGAGCTCGTAGATGAGCTCCATGGCGCGGATCTTGGGCGCGCCAGACACGGTGCCGGCTGGGAAGATGGAGCGCATGGCGTCCCAGCGCGTGCACTCGGGGCGGAGCAGGCCCGAGACTTCCGAAGTGATGTGCTGGACGTGGGAGAAGCGGTCGATGCGCATGAGGCGGTCGACGCGCACGGTCGAGGGGTGGCACACGCGGTTGACGTCGTTGCGCGCGAGGTCGACGAGCATGACGTGCTCGGCGCGGTCTTTTGTCGAGGCGAGGAGCTCGGCGGCGAGGAGCTCGTCCTCGGCGGGGTTGGCGCCGCGGCGGATGGTGCCGGCGATGGCGTGGTTGACGATGCGCGGGCGCGAGCGGGCTTGGGACGGGGTGTAGCCGAAGCGGGGGTCGGTGGGGAGGGAGGCGTAGCCGTCTGTTTTCATGAGGCACTCGGGGGAGGCGCCGACGATGTGGAAGTCGGCGCACGAGAGGAAGAAGAGGTAGGGGGAAGGGTTGAGGGTGCGCAGGGTGCGGTAGATGTTGAAGGGGTGGAGGCTGGTGCTGCGCGAGAAGCGCTGCGACGGCACGGCTTGGATGATGTCGCCCTTGACGATGTGCTTCTTGAGGTCCGTGACGAAGGACTCGTAGCCGTGCCGGCCGACGTTGGACGAGTACTGCTGCTCCGCGGCGGGCTTGCTGGGCTTCTTTGGCGGCAGGGGGATCTCGGGGGTGAGGATGGTGCCGAGGGCCGTCCGGATGGTGGCGCAGGCTTCGTCGTAGGGCCCCTGGAAGTCGGCAGACGGGTCGTGGGGGAGGTTGACGTGGGTGATGACGGTGAAGGTCGAGTAGAAGTGGTCAAAGGCGACGATGGTGTCAAAGATCATGAACAGGGCCTCGGGGATGTGGAGGTTGTCCTTGAGGGCGCGGGCCGTCCGGGGCTCAAAGTACTTGATGCAGTCGTACGAGATGTAGCCGACGGCGCCGCCGGTGAGGTTGGGGAGCTTGAGGGAGGGGATGCTGAGCACGCGGTCCTCGGCGAGCTGGGCCTCGAGGGCGCGCATGGGGTCGCCTTCGACATCGTACCCGGGGCCGGTCGCGAGGACCTTTCGGGGATCTGGGGTGGTCAGGGGCTTGAACAGATGCCAAGACGGGCGCGACGCGACTCACTCGCTCCGATGAAGCTGTAGCGGCCGACGGTCTCGGTGCTTCCGGTGGCACTCTCGAGGAGGAACGAGTACTCGGCGGTTGATCTTGAGGGAGTCAGCCAGGGGGCAGTTAGGGAGGAAAGGGAGACGCACCCCGCCGAGAGCTTGAGGTAGATGGCCGAGGGGGTCAGGAGATCGGCCGGGAGGGTGATGCAGACGGGCAGCAGCGTCGGGCGTGGGGTTGCTTCGCGCGTCTGCTCAAAGAGCTTCTTTGCATCCTCGACGGGCGGCCGGATGTCCAGCTTCGCCGAGAGGTCCATGGGGACGATGAGCATGGTGATGGCCGCTATAGGGGTGCAGCTTTCAGTTCAATGTCAATCCGCAATTGACCCAATGCCCAATGCCCAATGCCAATGCCCGTTTGGTCTGTCACTCGAGGTGCCACCGTGTGCTTGACCGCCCGCAATTGATTCGTGACTCACGGGTGGTGGGGTGTTTGGGTGGTGGCGGGGCCGCGATAAGATAAGAATCAAGATGTTGGGGAATGCTCAAGGTTTGTTTTCTCGACTCCCGTCTCTTCTCGACTTCACGACAAAGGACAGACATATACTATTCAGCTCTCCTTGTGGGATCGTATTCTGGTATCAATTTTGCCATTTTTAGACTGGCCGTCTTGCCCCGATGGTTCAACTAGTCCCTAACAATTTGCTCCCTTGCTCCCTTTGCGCTAACTTTCTAGCACTCCATCCACTGTGGCGTCACTGAAACCAAGCTGCAATGGAGCATCCAACATCACGCCGCTTCATCGCCAACACCCCCTCTCATAATCAATACAAGAATTTATCATAACACATCCCTCCTCTCCCTCAATACCTCGAATGACTCCGACTCCTGCTCCTCCGCTCCTCATACCGATACGGACTCCCTCCCCTCACCACCGCCACTGGCCTCACCACCTCCCTCACCTCCTCCCCGCTCCCCCTATACCCCCTGCTCGTGCTCCGATGACGCGAATGCGAATGCGAATGATGATGGTGATGATGCCCGCCGCCGCCACTCCTCCTCCTCGAATGCGACCGCCTCGGCTCCCTCGACCGGCTCCGCGGCCCAGGCCCCTGCCCGCCCACGCCGTCGTACCACGCGCGGCCGCCCGGGTTCGGCCGCGCGTTGGGCGGCGCCCCGAGGTTGCTGCACGAGCGGAAGATCCAGAAGAGCAGGAGCAAGCCAACGATGGAGCCGATGACGATGCCGGCGATGGCGCCGCCCGTGAGCGTCTTGGCGTCGGTGGGCTCGTCGTCGTCTGAGGAGTTGCCGGTGGTGCTGTCAGTGACGACGACTTGGCGCCGGAGGAGGTGTGTGGTTGTCGAGGCGGCGGCGCGGCGGAGAAGCGCGGTGGCGCTAGGGAGGGTGATGGGGGCCATGGTGGTTGTGGGTCTCGTCTTTTGGGGTGGTTTGGGTCGAGACGGAGAGAGAGTGGTTTTCGACGACAACGACGGATGGTTCCCGTGAGACGAGTATGATCGATCATCGTGGGCAAGACGTGAAGGCGAGGCCAGTTTTATAAGAGCCTTATCTGCGTCGCAGTTGGCGGTGTCAGTGACGCCATGATACATGATGGGGGGGGTGAAAGTTGTGTCGAAAGGGGTTAGCCTGGTGATTTACAGGGGTGCAACTGGAGCAAGTCGCGATGATCTTCCTAGCGAAGGTTGGTGCTTGTGTGGCCGACCCACACTCTCTCTTCTAGCCTCTGAACGTTGATCTTTTCAACAGGTTCTGGAATCTCGGCGGTCGATGCCGACATGAGAGGCACGAATCATCTCCAATGTGTGCATTTCTCCATTTCCTCCGGGCAAGCCGGGGACAACAAATCCAGTCACGAATGTAGATCGGCAGACCAGTCTAGCTTCGGCCACTACCCAGCCCAAAAATCGAGAACAGCAAAGATTTGGCGTTGCTGCACGATGATGTCATACACCAGCCTGTCCTCTCCCCCTCTGAAGCCATTCCCAACCGAGCACGTGCCGCCCGGTGCTCCTGGCAACGAACGTCTCGGATCAGGAGCTCGAACCAAGAAAACATTGCCCCTTTTCTGACAAGATCACTCCCTCGTCTAGATTTTCAGAGCTACAAGGGCAAAACTCTGTCAAGAATCCTTTCCTCTCTCCCACCTATGATCCCTGATGGGTGCATCATTCGCAGAACCTTGCCTCCTCCACATATACTCCACCAGAAGAGCTCCGCAAAGAAATTCAAAAAAAAAGGGGAAAGTGAATAAGACCATCCTTCCCTAATATCATCAAATGATCGTACTCAGGCTCGATCTGAGGACCTTCAGTGTGTTAGACTGACGTGATAACCAACTACACCATACGACCGCACTTGCTTGATTGGAGTTTAAATGTTCTAATTTGCATTTATCCCTCTTTGCATCGCCATGTCTTGACATCATATAGAAGAAAGAAAATCCATCGCTCAGAACAAAAAGATATTGACAGCGCTCACCAGGCCGTGTCACATTAAATCCATATTCCCAACCCTTTTGAGGTCGCAAGACTCTAACCTCCTCCTACTAAAGAGGGCGGGCAGGTTACAGCAGCAAAAAAAAGACATACAACACCAGTGATTCGCTGGTCGTCACCGACCCAACTACTAGTCTGGCGGTCGCTGGCTTATCTATGGGAGAGCGGACGGGATCCCGAGCTTTCCAGTGCCTATGGTCGTATGTGCTGGGTGTTTCAGCAATGAGTGCCTAGGTAGGGGATGGACGGCAAAGACCAAGGTACGGAATACCGTGCTGGTTGGAAAATGGGGGTTAGTCTCTGTCCATTATACAAAGTTTCACTGCACAGGACCAGACATAAATTTTTATGGTTTTTATTCAGGCAAGCCAAATATGGCACTCTGTGCTTCCTAGTACTCGTAGTGGAAAAAGAGCTCTAAATCTTTCAGACCCCGTCCATCCCTCCAGCCAGCACATTTCTGGCTAGGCGTGGCAAGGTGACGTGTAAAGTGCCCCGAACCGAACATGAAGAAAATAGAAAGCAAAATACAAGACGCTGAACCGCTTGGGAAAACAAAACAAGAACGCTGAACTGAACAAGGACAAGGAAAAGGAGGTCGGGAGAGAACCCCGACCTTCATCGCAATCGCTAGACCCATTTTCCTTTTCCCCACGCTGCCGTGCATCCCCATGTACCTCCCCCACGCCACCAGAGACAACCCCTCACTGGAGCCCATGCTGCCCCTTTTCATGGCGCTTGATATTATCCCCCCGCCCGACCCTGTCGCAGACGCGGCACTTCCGCGTCTCTGACTTGGCCGTCAAGACCCTGTGCCGGCTCTCCATGTGCCGGTCGAGCCCGCGCTGGTCCGTATGGGCCTTGCCGCAGGTCCGGCAGAGGAAGCGCTTGTTGTGCGCGCGCCGGTGCTTCTGGAGGTCCGAGGCGGTGTCAAAGGACCGGGAGCAACCGGGGTGGGGGCATGGGAAGGCGTTGGGGGCGGCGGGCATGGGGGAGAACCCTGGGCTGGTGGTCCTCGAGGAGGGGCCCTGGCTAGTGGGCGTGCTCAGGGGCGGTGGACTTGCTGGGGAGTGGAATTCGAGTGGGAAGTTGGCAGGGGAGGAGTTTTGGAAGGCAGCAAATAGGACCATTTCTTCCGGGGTGGAGAGAAATGGCTCGACGGGAGAGGGGAGGAATGCCTCGACGGGGGAGGAGGTGGGTTGTGTCGGGACCCAGAGACCCGTTTCCAGGTCAAAGTAGGCGTCACCATCGTAAATCACGGAGACGGGGGAGGCAGACGAGGACGCGTCTAGTGCCGGATCGATGCCGGGCAGGTCGGTTGGCAGCTGCATGTCGAGGGAGGAGAAGATGGTGTCGAGGAGTATGGGGTCGAGCGATGCGATGAAGGTCGGGGAAGGGTGGGCGAAGAGCGGTTCCATGCACCGCTCCGACGGCTCCTCCGTGCGGGGGAAACCGTCGACGGGGTCTTGGATGTGGTAATGGTTGGACAACATTGTCGTCGCGTTTGGTGTGGCTTTGGTTGGTGATCGGGCGGAGGAATCCACCGGATTGGATCAAAATGGTTCGAGGTTGGCAGTGGCGGTGTTTTGTGTTGGCAGGCGGCTAGGCTGGCGTGAGGCTTCAGATGGAGAACAGTTTTATGACGTATTCTAGGTCGGGAAGGCATCGCCATTGATGCTTCCGAGGGCGCCGTCCGCGCCTAAGCCGCCATGTCAAGGGGTAGAGGAAGCTGCCAAGATGGGCTTGGACAACCGCCAGCTGGCTGCTCTCGAACGCCTTGAAGAAGCTGAGCCGGAGCTAAATTCTTGTTGGAACCCCCAGAAAAAGATCCCTGTAAGCCGCAGCAAAGGTTGGACATCGTTTCAAAGGCATAGGCCAAGAGAAGCAGGTTTGCTGCGGCTGTTGCGGTAAGCTCGGCCAACGCGATCATGGGGCCATCCAGTCCCTCTTCATCAGCAGCTGGGTCGTGCTCGAACGGGTTGTCGTCGCGTAGGGGATGAGGCATGAGGCGGTTCTCGGTGACTCGAAGAGCGTCGAAAAAGGCGGTCATTCTCGCCGTCTGTTGTGACGTTCGAAAATATCCAAGGGTGACATGATCGCGGGTGCGGAAACGCGGCCGGGAATCGTGATCCCAGCAATGGCTGTCGGCATCGAAGGAAGGGCGGTGGTAACCCATGCCATGGATGTGGCGCTTGCAACGGGGCAGCGGGGCAGGTTCGGCAAGGGGTTTGCCAGTGCCGATTGGGGTCCAAATGTGTCGGTGGAGATCCCTATCTTGGTAGAAGTCGTCGTCGTCCAAGGAAAATGGGACCAGTACGAGGACGTCGACCACTGAGTATGGGTCAAGAAAGTCCCGGTCCCATCTGTTCCACCGGTCTTCGAGGTCGGTGGCTTCGGCAAACGCGTAACGGAGGGGGTAGTGGTGGTCGTCAATAAGTGCAGCGTGGCCGCCACCATCAGAATCATGGCGCGCATGGTGACCGCACTCGAAGCAAAAAGGGTTTGGATCGGGGTGCTGTGCAGTACCACAGGGATGGCAGGCGGGGTCTTTGGTGGAGGAAAGCATGTGGTCTGGTGGGTGGTTGTCGAAAAAAGGAGGGGTTCTGTGAAGGGGGGTTCTGTGAAGGTGACAATTCACTGGGAGGGTGAAGAAAAAAAGAGAGGGCGAGATGTTGTGACGCGACCGAGAGAGTCATTCCCCAGATTATATGGCACTCCAGCGCCGCACAGCGCGCCAAGACACAGCCCTGGCGGGCGTTCAGCGAGCACCCTGGGAGCCCCACAAATTGAGGACGGACTGTGGCTCGGCCTGGTTTGTTGGGATTAGCGGATGGGCTCCCTCCACATTAGGGAGTTTGGGCCAATTAGCTGTGATATCGCTGTGGCGGTGCCGCAAAAAAGGCCCCGCCCATTGCCGAAACGGGAACTGCTGGACCCTGCCCGTCTCTCCAGCATCAAAGTCACGTGCCACCCTTCAACGACACCATCACCATCGAACCCTCTGACAAGTGCCAATGGTATCATATTTTCCAGTGCTTCGCTTTTAACTCCACCAGCGCCAACGCTCTAATAAACTCAGACCAGGCCACGCTGTGAAGACCACACACCATACCCCCCAACCCCCCCTATGAATATCATCTAACCCGATCCTGAAGTCTACGAATTACCGTGTATCCTACTTCCCACCACCCTTCCCCCATTATCAATAAAAGTTACTCTATCCTTCCCGTCCCAAGCACATCATGCCCTTCAGCCCCTTCCCTCCTCACTCCCCAGCGCCGTCCTAGCAAGCATGGCCTCAAACTCCTCTTCGGTCCCATCAAAGACATCATCTTCCGAAAACCTCTCCATCCACGACCCAGGCCCCCGAGCCGGCCTTTCAATGCTCCCCCGAATCTTTTCCACCTCGTCCGCCACCGCCTCGCTGCTCTCCATCATGGTATCCAGGACTTCGCTCTGCTTCCCCGCCCGGCCCGGGCTCGGACTCTCATGTGGCTGCCGGTTCCTCGCCAGGGCCGTCCCCATCATCTCGGCCTCGGCGGCTATGGCAGCGTCCCTTGACGCGCTCAGTTTACTCAGCACCGCGTGCACTCTCGAAACCGTATCTTCTGGGCGCTCTTCGCCTCTTCCGGGACCGCCGTTGTCCTTTCCATTTGTCAGCCGGGTCCCAGCCTCCGCAATCATCTCCGCTGTTCCTGGACGACTGAGAATTTCCATCGCTCTCATTTTGGCTTCCCTTACGCTTAGAGACCCCATTAGTTAATGCCAGAAAAGAGTCCGCGGGAGCAGAGCGCAACATACCTAGTCACCGAAGGACGACCGCCATAATTCCCAACGCCACCGCTGTCGCTCCTCAAAACGTACTTGGACCCCGATCCACCCCCCCTGAGCGGCGTCGCAGGACCGGGACTGTCGTTGTTGCGGGAACTGTCGCCGCCACCCGTAGAACCGCGCACGGCAAACAGGCACCGCACCCTGATGCCCATATAGCCCATCTCCCCAAACCTAGGCGTCAAACACTCCTCCACCTTCTCCTTGTACCTGCGCAGAAACGCCTGCCTGGCCCCCCGCTCATTGTCCAGCTGCGTCAGCACCGGCGCCATCTCCAACACCATCCAGTCGTACACGCTCTCAAACCCCCTCGGAATCGGATACGGATCCACCGCCTCCATGACCACAAACGCCTTGGCGTACGGCGCCACCGCCGCCTCCCACTCCGCGACCGGCTCCAGCGGCAGAAACGCCTGCGCGCCCGTCACGTACTCGATCTTGCGCGTCTCGAGCCAGCGGTTCCACGGCCCTTGCTCCTCAACCGTCTCCCGCAGGAGCGCGTAGGGCAGCGAGCTCGCGTCGGGCACCAGCACGGCCAGCACCGCGTCCTCCTCCATCTGCGACAGGATGCGGCGCATGTGGAAGAGCCGCCCCGGCCGCGACATCTCCTGCAGCGCGTCCATGCACAGCACCAAGTCCTCGACCGACGGGACATACTCCTGGATGCTCTGCATACCAAAGTGGAGCACGGGCGTCTCGCCCAGCATCGTGGTGATCGCCCCGTAGACCTGGGCCGACGCGATGAAGTCGTCGTTCTTGTCCCAGCCTTGCACGGCGCACTGCTCCGGGAGCAAATCCAAGATGGCCACCGTGCTGTTGCCCAGCTTGCAGCCCAGGTCGGCCACGCAGAGGGGATTGAGCCACGGGACGTGGTGCTTGAGCCGCCGCATGAAGCGTCGCGCCTGCTGGGTGCCGTCGCGCGCGTCGGCCCACCGCCCGAGCGGGAATTCGACGTATTGCTGCGCGCTTTCAAAGTCCTCGGCCGAGTTGGTGCAGTGCATGTCGGGCTTGATGGGCCGCGCTGT